CACCTGCTGTGGCAGGACAGGAGGACTTTGGAGTCCAGAACTCAGTTTTTTTGTAAAGAAGCAAAAAAAATAATATTACCTCTTTATTAAGGTTTATGACCAAACCACGGTCAAGCCTTCTGTCGTTATTTCATTTAATGTAATTCTATGTACAGCAACTTGGTCTGGCAGCCTGTGGCACTGAGGGACAGCAGTCTCTGTCCCTCAGGAAGAACAGGGAGCAAAGCCAGGCCTCCCAAGGACAGCTTCAGGCCCTGATTCAGGCTGGTGCTACTGCTGTGAAACACAGAAGGGTCAGAAATGATAGCTGCCGTGCCCTGACATCACGCTGTTGCAATTTTCGCCCCTCAGTGTGGTTCAAGCCATGCGAAGCCATGAACAGAGCGTCCGCTCAGCCTGGTGTGCGTCGCCTCCAGGCTCACAGACAAAAAGGAGGCTGTCTCTTTCCTTGTGGGGCCCTGCCTCCTCTCAGGTGACATTAAACCCTTTCTTTAGCTCCTAAATGGTTAACATCAGCTTCATCTGCCTCAATCTGTGGCTGTGCTCAGGCCTGACTGCCCCAGTCCTCCTCTTGCCCACCCACGCCAGCACAGAACCCTGATGCACACCCAGTTCCTGTCCTTCACATCACCGAGCAACAACCGAGGCCACAGACATCATCCGTGTTCAGGGACCGGGGGCACATGGTCAGGATCGGTAGAGAAAAATCTGCTGAACATTTCTCTGAATGTCTCAAATAAGAACTATTATCCACATTTAAGGCTACTTAACAATAATAAAATGAAAATCATTGAAATTGCAGCTTTTACCACTTTTTCCTTAAGAACCAACCTATATGACACTTCTAAAGTGGAATATTTTGAAACCCCCGTTCCATTTCTCTACCAACAGCGCACTGAACTAAGGCTGCTGAAAAATACAGCATTTGTTTCCTAAAAAAAGGAATAGTAACAGTGATGTGTTCCGAGTATATACCCAGCAGTCATTTTGTGGTACCTGAAAAAAGCAGGCTGATTCACTAATGGTTATTTTCATTTGGCTGACTCATTGGAGGACACTGTGCAGCATCATTTTTTTAAAAAATTCATAAAGGATGGTTCAAAGGCATTCATTATAATTTCATTAGTGTACAAGAGGCGGTTCTGAGTGGTGAAGTGCAGCCAATTTTGACTTGTATACACCAGTGATCACTGCTGTAATAAAATAAGCACATCTGTGACTTTCTAGGAACGTTATAGGTCTTAGCGTCCTCCTGTAGCCACAGGCACAGGACCTGCACCAGAGGAGCTATGATCCCACCTGCCAGGGCACAGTGCTATAGACACTCACCAGCCCAGTGCAATAGCTAGACTTTTTTTTAAAAAACATCCTTAAGAAGAATTGTTCTTGTCTAGATGCACTTGGTAAATTAAAATGACCTGAAGAAAGAGAGAGTCCTAATTTTCCTTGAGCTTTACAGCACAAACCCCAAGAAGGTCAGATAGTGTCCTTTTCCTCGCTGACCGCATGCATATTATCCAGCAATTTCTGCTGCATTTCACATTAAGGTGAAGTTACATGTTACCGTCGAACCAATATAAAGGCCCAATCCTGCAAAAGAAGGTGGGGGCTCATGCTCTTATCCATCCCTTCCTCTCCCCACTCCTCTCTGCTCTGGCCTCTAGCCAGATCAATATTTCCTTGTAGTGCCTTTAGCACTCACACTCACCCTGCCCTGAGCCAGCTCAACTCACAGACCTCACAGAAAACTGTCTGCTTTTCTGCCAGGTCGGCTTTTTGCTCATTTAGCTAGTCAAGTGAGCTCAGCTCGGGGACAAACGACAACCAGGAAAGATGCAAGGCTGGCAGAGGAGGGGCGAAGAAAGCATAGCAAGGGCTGCAGGAGAAAATGGCACTGAGCTATTACACAGCTCAGGATGTGCTATGTACATTCTTATGGAAGCAAACACAAGTTTTCCTTCCATCTGTTTGTTTCGGTGTTTGAGTTAAACAGAAGTTTAGAAAACAAACGGTTTGCATCTGTCACACTGACATTCCCTCCTGCTTAGTCATGGCAGGGATGCTTTGAGCCCAGCGGCTGGACAGTCGGTTAGGATTCGGGAACCTTTGGCACAGCGGACGTCAGCGCTTCCTTTCCCTGTGGCTCACTTTTTCCTACTGTGAAAGGGAGA